TGATGGGAACAGACATGACGGGGATGAATAGAACAGGAAAGTATGGTAAAATTAGCACCAAGGAAGTTACGTTTCAGTTGCAAATCCTAGGAGTCATGTCTGTGGTTTGCGGTTTTAAAGGATAAAAAGGATTGCATCTGAGGGGGTCGGTACCATTTTGGTCAAGCTGTCTACCTGACAGCTCGGTCAAGATGGTTGGCATTGCAATGTGTATCTAAGTAAGTACTTTGTATGCTTTTGACTGAACTTTACTTGCTTGTTGAACTAACATTTAATAAAGCTTTTTTTGCGGTTTTAAAGGATAAAAAGGATTGCATCTGAGGGGGTCGGTACCATTTTGGTCAAGCTGTCTACCTGACAGCTCGGTCAAGATGGTTGGCATTGCAATGTGTATCTAAGTAAGTACTTTGTATGCTTTTGACTGAACTTTACTTGCTTGTTGAACTAACATTTAATAAAGCTTTTAGAACTTTGAAGTGACTTGTTTTATGGTGTGTCTGCCTCCCGTGTTTAATGAGGTTTTTTCCCCTGACACTAGGAATGCATAAATAAAAATAATGGTTGGCTCCAGACTTGCTTTTTTGAAAAGAGAGGTTCTGGAACAGAATTTTAGGATTATAGAGGGCTCCAGGGAGAGTTGCAGAAATAATCCTCTTACCATCTGCACAAACACCCATCTAGTTCATAGAAGTTCACTGCATACTAATCTGTAGAGTATTCAGTGTTTAAGTAGAACCCTAAGATAGTTCATTATTTTTGAAGATGTAAAAAACTGAAAAAGTTTAGTTGTTATCAAGTCAGGTTCATGTTCCTGGTGACTGCATAGATAAATGCTCACATTTCACCTGTCTCCAGTAATAACCTGTAGTGCTTCTATGGACACTCCAGTAAATTCTTTGATCCCATCCCTACACTCTATCTGTTCTTTGACTTCTCTCAATCTTGCCAAGCATAATAATCTTCTCTGGTCTATCATGCACCTATATTATAACCCTTAATTATTCTAATCTATGTGGTTTAGGTCCAAGATAACACCCAGACTATCTATATCAGTTTGCATGTCTTTCAAGAGAGGAGCCTCCTATAATCCTAAAATTCTGTTCCAGAACTTCTCTTTTTGAAAAAGCAAGTCTGGAGCCAACCATTATTTTTATTTATGCATTCCTAGTGAACATAG